TATTTTTTGTTTTGTTTTTCAAAAGTTTGATTTGTAAATTATTTGAATCGTTCAATTTGGGTCGTTTGCTTTTTTATTCCAACTATTTAAACGAAAAATTATTGAAAATTATTCAGTGAAAACTTAATCTGTGGTTCACACAAAGTGATCAATTATAGATTGTAATTTGCTACAAAGCTACGAAGAGATCGCACTAATATCTTTCGGCGTTCTTTTTGCCATACGTATGGCAGCGCAAGACACATGAACTACATGAGCACTCCCAGGATGCTATGACATATGTGTTGGATTATTATAATTCAACATTATTATTAATCAGCAAGCGATCATTACCATATTACAGTACTCACCGATCCAAACGGGGTTAGATCGCCGAAAAACAATTTTTCAAACAACAGCTACGATGTTTGATGAACTTTATCTTGAAGCAACGTATACATATGTACATATGTGATGCTATTAGATGTTATATGTACTCTGTTGAGTGACAAAACAGCTTGGGATGGTGGTAAAACCAGTTCAAAGTGATTAAATTATATCTGCGGAAATTCGTGATGCAGAGAAAAAAAACAGTATTATACAAAGTGATGAAAACCAATCTAGTTCATGGAGCTTGGGGACACCACAATCCCACTTCATATTTCAACCCAGAGAATACAGCCAACATAGAAAACAAGGCCAACCAGTAGATGGGCATTTAGGAGTGTTCTCAACTAATGCATTAAGATCAATTTACACAATTGCTTCTGCTTTGCTAATCAATAGCAAATTAATGTACGCTGTGCAACTTCATTTGAATAATTGCGTACTGTGAATGGTACAGTGTATGCAACTTTTTGAAAAGCATGCCAACAATTAAAACTGCTGGAAACTAGTAATCGCTGGAGTCAAACGATGGACGATGCGATAGCTACTTCACATGCCACTGAAGTTCCTATACTTATTGCGATGATAATTGCAACAGATCAGCCTTCAAATCTGCGTCAATTATGGGATACGAACAAAAATTACATTGAGGAAGGCATTTTTCATTGTATTCGCTAAGAATTGTWAACTCTTTGGAGAGGCTTGGTATGCCGCCGCATCATTTGCGTCCCAAAGTTGGCGCCGAAACTGTGTAATGGAACGCAACTGATTGTGACGCAGCTTTCGAATACAAGGGGGCCGAATGCTTCATTCTACGAATTCCTTTGAGTTCTAACGATATGCCATTTCTGTTCAAACCTATACAGTTTCGAAACCCATCTCTATACATTCACGCACCGGAACAGAAACAAAACATATTGTTTATCAAGCTGCGCTAAATTAAACAAAAAAAACTAGAAAAATCGCAAATAAAATTATTTAAACACAAAATATAGTACATTCAACTTTTTTTCGGGTGATACATATAGTAGTTATATGTTGCAAAAGTATAAAAATTATAGATTATGATCTATGAAGAATGGCCGAAACGACACGTAAAAATCATACCATCATCCATGATTTATAATAGCAAGCCCGATTTTAAGAAAAATATATATATACAGAAAAAAAGCTGTCCGAAAATGTATTTGTTGAAGTAAGCAGCTTAACGTTCAGTTAAGATTCGACGAACCATGCGTCGCAGTCAATGAACGATACAGTGATCATTCGCCATACATTATGGTTTGGGGAGCTATCACAAGTTATGGTGGTGGCGAAATAATAATGTAAGATTGTACTGTCCATTCAGCAACATACGCAGAAAATTAAAAAAAAAAAAAAGGTGTTTCGGTGTTGCACCGTGTCATCGGTCAAAGTCGGCAAGGATAACATTGACATTTCCTTTCACGCATAGTTTTTTAAGTTTCATACACCATCAACTTTATTGAGAACTTGTGGGAAAATATAAAGCACACAATTCGACGCCATAAACCAAAAAGAATTTAAAAATTTAAAGACATGGTTGAATTAACTTCGTATAGTGCAATTTCTACAGATCTAATTAAAAAATTATATAATTATATTGTTATAAGGTCATAAGGTTTCTACACCCACTATTAAGAATGAATTTTTGGGTCAAATCAAAATATAAGAAAAACGCTTTGAAAATATTAAATACTAAATAAAAGTGTTTAAATCCGTTTTGCTGCTTATAAACTTTTTTTTCTGTATTTTCCATATGCATTTCTAAATTAGAGAAATTATTTTTTACAGCGTATTTTAATTTTCGGTAACAAACAATTATTTAAATTATTATATTCAGCTTCAAAAGCTTATTAATTTTTATTAAAGGTTACCTGGTAAATATTACTAAGTCAAATCGGTTTTTTTATAGGCGGGAGTGCCGTTGCCGCTGAGTTATAGTTTTTGAGATATTTGCATTTAAGGGGCTATACCAGTGTGACACATGAGTTTTCTTAAGAGAAAGTAACCAATTGAATATTTCGAACATCTTTGAACATAATAAGGCATATTTTCAGCTATATTTTAAGATTTTTACAAAAGTGTTAAAAAATAATGGAGTTACAGGCTGCCTTCTGAGGTAACAAGAAAAAAGTGGCCCAACTGCTGGCATGATTCCGGCCAAAAGAGTAGCTCAAACAAAAAATTTGAAGTTTATTACACTTAAAGATATTTACTATACTATGACCTACGACCTTTGAAAAATAAAAATTAACAAAATCCCGTAACTTTGAAAAAAAAAAACCTTTTTTAGGTAAAAAATAGTCTTTTTTTTAATGCCAAATTGACAATATTCAAGCAGTCAAAAATATCGTAGGTCATTTATAATAAATGTATTCAAAAGAACACTGTTTTAATTTGAAGTCAATCGGTCAAATACTCCTTGAACTATGACGCCAGCAATTTTGAAAAATGTCGTTTCGCGTTGCTTTTAAAGTGTAACTTATATATGTTTGCACCTTCCAGCGGTCCCTCTTTAGACGCTGCCGTTCAAAAATTATTTAAGATACGACCTTCCCGATTTCACAAGATATTTATGTACCTATAAGCTATCGAAAAAGAAAATACTTTTTTTTTTTTGTCACACTGGTATAGCCCTTAAGGGGGGCGTGCGTATGAAAAAAGTGCTGCCCAAGTGTTGGTCCGAGCAGATTTATTTTTTGAAGGGCGGACAAAGGCCATCAACGCAAAATCAAGACACCCCGTGAGACCAATCAGGGTATTTTTTCTGAAGACGCCAAATTTGTTATTGTCTTGGGTGTATTATTTTATTTCTTATTTTATTTATTATTTTAGCAAAAGAAATGGGTAGAAACAAATTAGTGAAGTATTCGTGGATATCATAAGTCAGCGGCAATTAAACATACATATTATATACATACATGTATATTTTTAATTTTGAGTAGATCCTCTATCTGGACATAGCGATTTTAAGCCCGAAACCTGCGGATGTTATTCTAAAATTTACCCTTACGGAGTTTCAGGACATAGCCCGGACCTCAATTCAATTGAAAATCTTTGGTCAATATTGAAAAGAACCAAATCTGCCTGGTTGAAATACAACTAACAAAAGAAATTAAGCAAAAACTGTCTACCCCAAATACATATAAAAAAAAAAGTTGCAGAAAGGTGTATTATTTTTCTTGAAGCGCGGCCGAAGGCCCCCAGTACAGAAAGGAATTCTACGCGAAAGAACTCTGAACACCCCGGTGTTGGATCGGCCAGTGTTATTATTATTTTTTTTTTTTTTGAAGCGCGGCGCTGAACTTTTTTCCTTTTATAAAAAATTGCTAAAAATTTTTGAGTTTTCCATTTATGTGTTTGGGTATAAAGTTTTTGCTTTTTATATAATTGCATCCATCCTTCGGCCGCGCTTCAAAAAAATAACCCTGGTCGATCCAACACCGGGGTGTTCAGGGTTCTTCACGTAGAACTCCTTTCTGTACTGGCGGCCTTCGGCCGCGCTTTAAAAAAATAACCCTGGCCGGTCCAACACCGGCTACGCCATCCACAGTATTTTAGCATTGAACACCTTTTCCTCCACAGTATCTTAGCATTTCATTCCTTTCCGCACTAGCGGCCTTCGGGCGCGCTTCAAAAAAAATAACCCTGGTCGATCCAACACCGGGGTGTTCAGGGTTCTTCGCGTAGAACTCCCTTTTGTACTGGCGGCCTTCGGCCGCGCTTTAAAAAAATAACCCTGGCCGGTCCAACACCGGCTACGCCATCCACAGTATTTTAGTATTGAACACCTTTTCGCGTTCACTTCATACATTTATTGTTAAGTGGGTTTAATTTATTCCCTTTTGTTCGTGCTTTCTCGGTAATTTGACAGTTCAAATTAGGCAGTCATTTTGGTTTTCCGCATTATTGAACTCAATGCAGAAAAAGGTGTATTTTATTTAAAGATTTACAAAGAAATTAACAATCAAAAGTAATTAAAAACATTACTAGTGGTTTTTATAATTCATAAGTAATATATGTGCGTGAAAATGTATCCATAATTGGTTTGGTACCATTCGAAACAGATGAAAATACACTAGCATATATTTAGAATTTTGCAAAAAATAGCATTTTTTAAAGTGAATTTGTGGAAAAATTTATGAACCGATTTTTATAAAATATTATTTAAAACAAAGTTCGATAATTTAAGCATACATGCGTGTTTAAAATTTTCCATTTGGTTCTCTCATTTAGGTACGGTGAGCCAAAATTAACCGGCGCGATACTAAACACAACCCGCAAATATCTTTAAAACTATAAGGGAGCGACAATTATATGTATATTATATATTTTCGAGACCTGGAGAACGTCGCCTTTCCAGTTGCAACCATTTTATCCCCGAAATCCGGGGATGCTATTCTAAATTTTACCCGAATAATATTGTTTTAAATTCTTGGAACTATATTTATCACGTTGTTTTTACTAAAAAAAAACTGTTAATAAACAATCGACAATTTTGACTGTAACGCCAATTTTAGCCACATTATGTATAATAGCCATTAATCCACATTTTTTTATTGCTGCTAGCACCAAAAAAAATATTTTTCCGTACTGATTAGAAAAAAACTTACCTATTCGTGGTTATTAAACACAAATATTACTAGAACTTTTCAAGAACTTAGCGTTTATTTATCTCCAAATTAAGATACAAAATGAGTAAAATAGTATAGCCTTCTTAAATGGAATTGTAAAGCATCTAAAACCAAATCGACAACCACTCGCGCAAAACAGAGGCAACCTTATGGGGCATCTCGACAGGATAGCATTTATAGAATACTATCTGCATTGCCGTGACGATTGCCTGTGTAGGCTCCACACTGCTCGTAGCTTACTAGATATATAGCGGGATTCTGTAACCAGTCTCTATTTGAGACAGTTTGAGGTAAAATCTCAGTTTGTGACTAGTTACTATTCCCTAAACAGTCTCTAGCTCTAGTCTCAAAATATTGCCTCAAATTTGAGACCTGGTAGATAGCAAGTCACAAAACCAAAAAGAACTCTTGCCTGCCATTTTAATATACTGAATAGAGATCACCATAGATATTAATCGATTTTCGTTTTTTTTTTTTATTTTTTGTAAGCAACTCAAACACGCAAAGGTTAAAAATAAATCAATTTCACATAAATTTCGTTAATATTATGAAACAAAGTCAACATATATTTTTATTTTTATTGATAATTATGTTTTTTGACTATATTATAGAAAATTTAATATTTGTTATCGACATATTTATTTTCATTCAAGTATAAAAACATCTCTGAATAATGAAATATAATAGATTTTGTGACTGTCACTTACAGAATAGCAAAATTGCCTTAAGTCTCAAAAATTGTCTCTGTAAAATTTAGAGAATTGATACTATATCACAGTACAGAATCGCACGGATAAAATACTACTATATTTCCGAGTATTTTCCAGGCTGAAGTACTGGCTATAAGTCGGTGTATAGAGATAAACCTCCACCGCAACTATCGCAACGAGCGAATAGCTATWCTTAGCGATAGTCAAGCGGCACTAAAAGCGATCTCCTCCTACGAGATCAAATCGCTATTGGTGCAGGAGTGCACCAAACGGTTGAACAACCTAGCTGCAAAGAACCAGGTGCACCTAATCTCCGTGCCCGGCCACTGGGGCATAGCCGGCAACGAATTGGCTGATGAGCTAGCCCACTCCGCAGCCTCCACCAGTATGGTTGTTCCCGAACCATTCATTGCGGTGGGTCCCCACACTGTGAAGGAGCTGCTCCGCAAGGAAGAAAGAGTGTGCAGAGAAAGGTATTGGCAGCGAGCGCACGGTATGCATCATGCCAAGCTGCTAGTGGGGGGGGGGGGTATAACCAAAAGAGGTTTAAATCGTTAATTAACCTCCCAAGAAACAAACTCAGCATTCTGGTTGCATTTTATACCGGCCACTGCAAGCTGAAAAGGCACTTAGCTAACATGGGCCTATCATCTTGCGCCTATCATCTTGTCGGTTTTGCGACAGGGACCCTGAAACCCCGAAGCACCTGTTAATCGACTGCATTGCAGTCTGTAGGCGCAGATCGAAGGCCCAGCAGAATACTTGACTTCGTCTTGATGCTGGGGCTAAGCAAGTCCCTGTGAGTTAGGATAGGGCACAATAGACCTAAGGTCGCAGTGCATTCCTCAGTTATTTATCTATCTATAAAGTTTGCCATATATCGTAAGCTATGAGCTGTCACTTCAACCGTTTGGCAGTGCAGTTTTCATTTCTTTGAAAATTTCGAAGAGGCCACTTATAGCGGAATTCTGTAAGCAGTCTCTATTCTCTATTTGAGACATTTTGTGGTAAAATCTCAATTTGTGACTAGTTACTATTCACTAAACAGTCTCTAGCTTTAATCTGAAAATATTGCCTCAAATTTGAGACCTGGTAGTTAGGAAGTCACAAAACCAAAAAGAACTCTTGTCTGCCATTTTGAATAAACTGAATAGAGATCATCATAGATATTAATCAATTGTAATTTTTTTATATTTTGTAAGCAACTCAAACACGAAAAAGTTAAAAATAAATAAATTTTACAAAAATTTCGAAAATATTATGGAACAAAGTCATCATATATTTTTATTTTGATTGATAATTATGTTTTTTGATTATGAAATTTGATAGAAAATTTAATTTTTGTTATCGACATAYTTATTTTCATTCAAGTTTAAAAGCATCCCTGAATTATTAAATGTAATAGATTTTGGGACTGTCACTTACAGAATAGCAAAATCGTCTCAAATCTCAAAAATTGTCTCTATCAAATTTAGAGACTTGATACTGTATCATAGTACAGAATCACACGGTAAGAATGCCGTAAAATGAGGGAAGACTTACCGTGCGATTCTGTACTGTGATACAGTATCAAGTCTCTAAATTTGACAGAGACAATTTTTGAGACTTGAGACGATTTTGCTATTCTGTAAGTGATAGTCACAAACTCTATTACATTTCATTATTCAGAGATGTTTTTATACTTGAAAGAAAATAAATATGTCGATAACAAATATTAAATTTTCTTTAACATAGTTAAAAAACATAATAATCAAAAAAAATAAAAATATATGTTGACTTTGTTTCATAATATTAACGAAATBDATGTAAAATTTATTTATTTTTAACCTTTTCGTGTTTGAGTTGCTTACAAAATATAAAAAAACGACAATCGATTAATATCTATGGTGATCTCTATTCAGTATATTC